AGCACAGGAACAACATGGAGTTCGGCAGCATAGGTCATGTACTACCAATTTGCTGATTGTGCGTGGCAGTTGGGCCGAAATAGCCAACATTGGAACCGGCAGTGATGTCATCTACCTCGACAGTTCTAAAACCTTCGACCGCTTAGATCACCGAATCATTTTCCAAAAGGTGCATACTTACAGATTTGGGGACCCGATCCTCGGATGGGTCGGAAATTTCCTGCTTCAGCGGCGGCTTCAAGTTCGGGTTAGGGGTTCATTTTCTGATCCTATCGACGTGGACTGCGGTGTCCCACAGGGATCAGTGTTACGGCGGCGCATATTCCTGGTCTTCATCAACGACTTCGCGCGTGTCATCCAATCGAAGTTCCTGCATTTTGCCAATGACATCAAGATATGGCGGGCTATCGGTTGTCAGGACGATCACGATGTGCTAAGAAAGTGTCTTTGAATGATAAAAGACAAAACTACTTCCGTTTAATGCAGACAAGTGCAAGACTGCACATGTACGCCACAAGCCCACTTACGTATATAAGCTTGGAGACCATTTGCCGAAAACCGCCTCACAGAAGCCTGATCTTGGAGTGGTGATGCAAGACGACATCGGCTGTTTGGCACAGCCTTTGAAGGTGTATAAAACCGCTAACCAACACGTCGGCCACTTGCAGAGGGCGTTCGGGTGATTTGACCCCACCATCTTCCCCCAAATGCTCAATGCGCATGAGGCCCCACATGGAGTAAGCGATTCAGGCATAGTAACTATGGTTAAAACGCGATCGGGTTGCACTGGATAGGGCACAGCGAATGGTAACTAATAATGCGAAGGGAATGCTTCACCTGCCGTACCAGCTGGGACTGAAAACTTTAGGAGTGTACAGAGGAAGTTATCGCCGTCTACGAGGCGATCACATTCTGGCGTTCCAGATTTTGAAAAACCCCGATCACGCATGTCGCCACTTCCTGAAGCTAAGCCGCAACACAAAATCGAGTGGTCACCACCTGAAACTGACTACGCAATACAGTCAGCTGGAATGCCGCTGGAACTATCTTTCTCTTCGAATTTGTCATCTCTGGAACATCTGTTCGACTTCTGTCATTTCTGCGCCCACGCTACCTGTTTGAAAAAAAACGACTCGATGATGCATTACAACACCTGCATTGATTTCTGTCCACGTAGTGATAACAAGACGCAAATATTGTGCTCTCTAGCCCTCAGGAAATCGGCGTAAACGGATATATATGCGTGTGCAAATGGATACACGTGTTATCGAACGCAAGTTGACTCATAGTGGATTTATACTTATGAATACCGCGGTGAGTACACCAGTGAACCTAAATTTGCTGGCAGTTTTCTTACACTTTGAATTTTACTATGATCAACTTGCGGGACCTGTTGCGCTACATCTTTTCTACCCGTATAAAACCACTGTTCCATTTATCTGTTTTCCTAAGAGACTAACTTGGTTATCGCTGTCTAGTAGTCACCTACGTGTTGTCCGGAAGGAATAGCGCTTCTGGTAGGGGAGATGCCTTACCCTCCGGGTCTCCACCTGTCACCCAGCTCTCATCTGTGGCTCCAAGAAGCTGCTTGCACGCAGGAGCGACCACACCCCGGTAAACCATCAGGCAGACGGGTTAGACCAGGGAGGGTAGCCGGGAACACTAATCTCGTTGAGTTCGTACCCGCATGCAGCGTCAGTCCTGACAACTGGGTGGAAGAGATCGACTCCTGATCCAACGTCTAGAAGTTAAAACATTTTCCCAGACCCCTGCTGTCTAGCAGGTGGCACTGCAAAGGTTAGAGGTGAACCCTCGAACAAAAGCCGGATGAAGTTGGGGTCCTCATACGTACCCATAATTCCCACGAAACTTTATGATAGTCCGTTACCCGCGATTCTTCTCATGCTACTGCGTTCCCGCTAGGCGACGCGTTCTGCGCTAACCCAGTGGCCAGATTGATAAGTAAGCTAGCTAGGTCTCTCAATCCCCCGCAAGCCATTATTTATTGGAAGCTGGAATGTCAGAACCCTGTTGGATGCGGCAGCCAGGCGTTGACCATGAGCACACTACATGACTATCAGATCGAGATGGTATGTTTGACAGAATCTCGAATACACAGATTTGGTTCCAGACAAATCAAAGCCCCTGGTGTAGATACCTCATATTGGCTTTACCACAGTGAGCCGGAAGATAATTCTAGGAATCATGGGGTCGGCATAGCTCTGTTGCCAGGCACACAACGCCCTCCTTTCATGGAAACCATTATCAGCTAGAATAGCAGTTGCTCATTTCAAAAGTCACCCGATGAATATGGCCATAATCTCTGTCTATGCACCAAACCTGCCTTCAGCAGAAAGTGACAAAGATGAATTTGACGATACTCCACAGAATGTAGTGAACCATGTTCCAAAACGCGACATCCTTATTGTTGCTCGGGTCTGGAATGCACGAACCGGGCAGAGGAATGATCAGACCTATCACATACTAAGGAGATACGCCCTTGGAGAACGCTGTGATAATGGAGACCGCTTGCTCAGCTTCGCCGACCTTAACCGGTTGTGCATAACCAATGCTCGCTTCCAGCACCCCAGGAAGCATCTGACATGGTACCCCAATGTTGGCAATACAGCGAACCAAATAGATTACATCTTAATCCGATCCCGGTGGATGTCCTCCATTGATAACAGTCGAGCGTACAGAGGGGCTGAAACGGGCAATAAAAGTAGTCAGACCAGGTATTCCGGCGCGCCAAATTCAGGCTCCGCTTGACAACGCGTCGGAAGACCCTTCCACCAAAGCGTAGCAACATTGATCCATTGGCAAATACTGACTGCTGCCGATCCCTTGAGACAGTAACAGAAGCAGAAATCTCCCAGTGCACCACGCCTGGTATGGCAGAAGATGAATCTGTCGGCGCTCGTTTGTCTAGGCTAAGATCGTCAGTTCAATGCGCCGCTCTATCTACCATGGGCACTACCTCAAAAATGTGAAGGATTGGATCAGTGGAGATACTATCCGCTTGTCTGCTAAATCAAGGAGGCATATCTCACGAATTCTTCAGACCACCATCCCTTGAGACGTGAGGCAACCCGCTCAACAAGGGATGATCGCACCTGCTACTGGTGTGTTATCGCAGGCAACATGGAAGCTGTATCAAATTCTGTCAATCTAGGTCATTTTTTCGTCTCATCCGTTTAGATTCCGGCAAACGCTATTCACCACAGATGATATTGCGCAATTTGGATGGCCAAACCATCCCTGATACAGAAGAAAACTTTTCAGAGGGGTGGAATATTTTAGCAACCTCCTAAACCGCTTACTAAACACAACTAAACAGCATTAGGTCAGTCAATATATGACGCGGATTATTCACAGCCATCTCCCACAGAAGTTCCAAATATGGCTCGTCGCCTGAATTCGAAGAAAGCCCCTGGAGTGGACGAGATTCCAGTTGAAACATACAAGTCTTGACAACCAGCCATCCTTGGCCATTTGCAAGAGCTCTGCTGTTCGATATAAGAGATGGAAATCTGTTATTCCTAGTGAAGTACCTCGGTATTATTGCCATTTCCCAAGAAAGGCGACCGACCTGCGTGCAGTAATTATCGCTGGATTAGCCTAACCGATGTGGCTGTCAAAACCTTCGCACAAATCTTGCTTACTCGCTTTGTCAATGAGAGGAACCTGAAAACTCGCCATAACCAATATGGCATTCTTCCAGACAGAAGCTACACTGACCAAATATTCACTCTAAGCAGGGTACACAACCACCGCTCCCAGTTCCAGCTGATGGCGTGCCGGTTAAGCTCGTTAACTTGATGAGATCATACTACAGTTGAACGAAGGCCCGCATTCGGGTCGGTGGAGAAGAAACACTGTGCTTGGATGATTTGTTAGCAAAATTCATGTCACGGTTGCGTAACTCACCGAACTACAAAAGAAGTGGCCCGAGAGTGTTGAAGGTGGTCCTTCAGTCAAAACATATAGTAGCACGGCTGCTAAAATGCTGGTACACGTAACGTTGCAGGTTACCATCTGAACTTCGGCTGAAGACAGTCAGCGATATTCCTCCTAGAGATGATCCGTCACAAAACGAACCGAACGCGAGGGGATCAATAAAAGAACAATGCACCAGTAGCGTGTCTAATGAGCCCATATAATCTGTAGAAAATGATCTTGACCGGACACCTTACACCTTATTCCACAGATAACTGTACCTGACCAGGAAGAAATTAGAGCGGACGTTCGTTCTAGCCTTTGGTATATTCAATGTAAAATCTTTGTTGTGAAGCTCTCGAGTTAAACAATGTTGTAACTTGAGTGTAGGTAGGTTGGAATAGGTCTTTTTGTAGTTCCATTACATTGCTTTATTTTTCCTTTCTTTTCATGACTGGTCACGAGTAGGCCGATCTTCTGAGGTGATGGATTGAAGTTTCCAAGTAAATTAATAGCACCCACGCAATGTGAATTGCCATAAACCCAATGGCGAGAAAAAAAGGTGCTGGACTCGAATGAGTCAGATGTTGGATAGATCTGAGTGGCTGAAGTGCCTGCACTCTGTAGATTTAGCAACAACCCCGAAGATGAGTTAATAAGGTGTTGGTTCACTTGCTCTTTAGCCACATCGGTACAAGGCCGGATGGAGCATGGAAGTGCGGATGAGACGTTTTGAGGGACTACTCTGCATAGAAGCAGGTACTCAGGAGACGGTTCCACGGATGGCCGTATTACTTCACTTTACCGTGTGAATATATCTATAACTATTCTTGATCTCAAATCTGCCAAGTTACCAATTAATTTAACTGATTGAAATATGCTTCGAGAACAACTTTGAAAATCTCGAACAATTTCCAGATCCTGTTGCACAAAATGATCTGACCAATCAAATTGTCTATCTCACAGTTTATGTCTTTGCATAATGAGTGAAGCCGTTAAGCAACCCGGTTCTAGAATCACAATGTGCGGTTCCCTTAACAAGCCGGTGCCAGGAAGCATACAAATGTGAGTAACAATTATATTTCATTGAAGGTGAAGCGAATACATGAAACAAATGACACGAAAAAGCGGTACACGAATTATGATACGTTATAAAGTTGTGAGAGGATAAAACACACTTTAGAAAATCGCTTGTGGTTTGGAAGTCTGCGCCAAACGAATTCATCTAAGATGGAACTGAACTGCTCGCGACAATCAGTCTGCAACTCGTCAATGAAAAGCGCTAACTGTTCCAGTAAATTGTCCGCTTTTTGAATGCTCACGTTTCTATCGGGATCAGCCACAAGGTGAGCGTAGCCTTCAGGAAGTTCCCCAAGTGGTTTGTAACCGGGCCAATCGCTTGTTATTATAGTGGATCCGGGCTACGGAAAAACTGTTACGACATAGGGACAACACGCTAACCTTGACACGATGGCGTATGAAACGAATCAGTAATTTCTGATTGCAGCGCTCCTGTGGTAAACGAATTAAAAAACACCTAGTTCCAAATCTCTCTACACCGGCCAAAGCACAGATTCGAGGTGGATCTAAATAAGCCCCTTCGGCAATCTCAATCACGCCCTCCAATCGATCCGTTTCACGTTTCAATTGCTATGGGGTGATTGTAATAGAGTCCAATAACTCACCCAACTGCATACAGTACGAAGACGATTGATGAAAAGAGAAACAATTGCAGGGGAAGCCCCTGTCTCACTACACATATCGTCGAGCGTGGATCCCTGGGACCACATATACATCAAGTAAACCAGCACATCCATGGAGCACTTAATTCGATCGAAGACAGAACGCAAACGAATTGGAAAACGCCGGCTGCACTTTCGACATCGCCAGACATAAAAATCAGTGTGTGATATCTCCCTTGATAACCCCATGGCGACGGGTCGGGGACAGTTGGTGCAGTAAGATTCATTTGAAATCAAGCGCCTTTGAGCGAGCCACATAATTAACTTGCTTTGATCGAGAACAAAAACGCGGAAAGCCTCCTTTTCTGGCTCATCCATACCCCATTCCTCCTCATTCATGTACGGTTTTTTGCATATGGAAACTCTAGTCTTATCATTTGCCTCCAGTGAGGGAAACCTAGTGTAATTAGGCTCTCAAAAACAAGCTTCCACTTACACTGCCTGAGAGAGGGGTGTCGGAGGTCTAATGAATGTAGAGTTTGGAAAGGAAACCGCGATACTTACTGCCACTTGCAGTGATTGACATCGTCAATATTACCGCTTGCATCGTTATGAACTAACTCGTTTTCGCTCGATATTTCCTGTCGCAACGGAGATACGGAGGCCTGAGAGCTAAATTAGAAACGAAGATATATAGAGCAAAAGTTGACCACAAACCGGAATTCGAGCAGACCGTTTGGCTCCTCCAACACATCGATCACAGGTCCATCATCGGGGAGAGCTGAAAGTGAATGGGGCTGTTCAGAGTCGGATAACTCGAAATCCTGAAGGGTAATGTGAAACGGAAATGAAGTAATTAAACAAATGCGAATTGACTAAAGAAAGTACTCGATAGTGGTCGAAAAAGATTGGTCATTTGAATACAGGCGTGCCATTTACAATCACAACGCGAAGGAACAAGGGTTGAAACCCCGTTTTCCTTTCAACATAAATTATATGAAAATGCTAATTCTCGAATACCACTCTCATCTGAACTTCTCAGCCTGGTGCATGTACCCGCGTTCTAGAATTTAACCTGTGACCACCTCACAATTAAGGCGATCGGGGCAGTGATATAGAATGCATTAAAGCAAGAATTGGCCATCATATGTATCCAAGTGGGTCTAGCACAAGTGAGATGGAATGAAAAGTGGTGTGGAAATGTGAATGATATTTTACTTCCCGAGCGTTGGAAAATGACCCGCCGGCAGCCATAAGTAAAATAACAAGAAATAAAGGGAACTAACAGCGATATGACATATCCTCCATGCAACTTGATGGCAAACAATAGAATTATGAAGCAAAAAGTCACACATTGATGGATGACTCAGGACGCCATAGAAGCTACGAAACAGTTACACAATTCAAGTTGGAAGCAGTGTTGCGAGTTGGGTGCTCAGATCACAATTTCCGAAGAAAGTAACCAAATAAATGTGGTCGAGAGTGCTGCGTCGAACTCATGTTCAATGCAACAAGAAGTTAGGAAATTGAAGTTTGTCTACTTCAGGTTAGCGAATTTGGTAACAGTGCAGCGAGTCTGGTTATGCAACCAGAGCAACCATGATAATATCGAATACCAACTGTCTGAAAGAAGTAATGCAAAAGGTGAAATGTTGACGAAAAAAGAAGCAACAAAGATATAATCGTCAGACCGCGAAGAGAAACAAGTAGCATACAAAGGACTCGAATAAACCACGAAAGATAAAGAGTTTAAAAACGGATCCACAAGCGAAAAAGCATAATACTAGTAACTCCGTCGATCGCTTCATACTTTTCGACACACCAAACTTGGGATTCACCCAACCAGGCGCAGTAGTAGCGCTTCTAATATCCAAAGGTAACCTATCTAGTGAAATACATATGGGGATACCAAAGAAAATTGACTGACCTCATAGTTGTAGTCATCATATGACGTCTCTTTATCATTAGGCGAAGTCATCACTGAGATTTCTTCTGGCTATTGGGAAACCGCGTCACGAAGTCCGATCGAAGAAGGATGAATAACGATGAGGTTCAAAACAACCCGTTGCTTTTAAACCCGAAACAGCTGAAAAGATAAAGGCTGCTCTTTATAGTGAAAAGATGGTTGCTGCGAGATGGAGATCACGTATTCAAACCATAAGAATTAAATAACCAATGGTACACTAAAGACAATTGTCATTTAGCCTAGTCAAGTGCCGCAGAATGGCAAAAAAGTTGCACGATAAGAGATGTCTCGGAGAATAGGAGTGACAACCTTCAGTGGGGATCCGACCCAGCAAAACTAAAAAAGGAATAAGATCATAAGTGTCGTGCATACTTCGCAGCTATTAACACTGAAAGCACCGGAAAACTAGAGATGATGCAGAGTAAAACGAATCCGAGCTAACGCTTGGTGGACCTCCAACTCACAGTTACAATCAGTTCGTATCATCACTAAATTCGAGATAAATGAGAGTTTGGATATTAACGCCCACGTAAACAATTTCCGTGTGCAACCGAATTCGTGGAAATATACATTTATCCCCTACGCTAACAACTTGAAGTCAAGCCAGGACGCATCCCAGTTCTACACAATGCAGTTCGAAAGATGCGATAGTAAGAAAGCCACGCAAGATAAATTGGTTGGGTAAATTGGAAAAATGGCGGAGCGAGATCACCCTGCTGAGCTCCTGCTGAATGCAAGTCCCGGTTGATCACCCTAGCAAATGCACAAATATACAGTTCTAAAAAGAGCAACAGTTCCACCAACATTGACCAGTCAGTAAGAACATCAAGCGAGTCTCCTAATACAAAACCCGCGTGCATTGATTTTTCGAGTTATTCGTGTTCTAGAGAAAGGTGCAATTCACTAATGTTAAAGAATTGTGAGCCACAAAGCATCAAGTGAATTGCACGAAGACTGTTGTGCTTCTATACACCATTAAAATGCTGCTTAGTAGAAATGTAGCTCTAAAGGAGAGGCGAAAAGCTGGATCACATACGGAGTTACAGTATTTGTGTGGAGCAGAGGTTTGATTAGGAATACAATGTCCAGCAAAACACGTGTATCAGCCCAACAACTGCGGTTTAATAAATCATGCAAGTAAGAATCCCGAAAGAGAATGCAAACTCTCCTATCGACTTCTAATGGTCAAGAAGTCAATGCGGGAAATCAGAGAATTATCTAAGATCGCAGTATCAAGAAACTGGACAAGTCGAACCAGGAGTTTACTTCCGATCGTCAATAAATTTCGGATTCAAGGTACTCAGTATGCACCACGTGCAGTCAACGACGACAGTTGAAAAAGTGTGGTCAAGTCAGTAATGCGCCTATGTCGAAGCTCCCAATGCATCAGATGACCGGTAAATAGTGGGCACGCATTTCGCGCAAATATTTTCGTAGCAACCCATTGAACGCACCAGTATGCCAACCACACATGTAAGTAGCTGAAAGCCGCCCTATAACAACGATTCGTTGTCGCAACCTGTCACAGTGTGTAATGCTTCAAATATATCACAGAGTACTAACGGAATTAAATTTCATTCTGCTAAGCGCTAGGAGTTAACGAAATCATCATCCGAGAAGGTAAGCCATCCAGAAGCTGGTAGTGCCCGCATCCCGATTTCAACTAGAGGTTCTGCTATCTCAAGCTAACGAGTGCAAACCGTAGGAAAACTGTCGTAGTGTAGGGATACGTGTAGGAGAAGTCCAATAATTAGCATCGCAAACTATTTAAAGTGGTTGTTCAGGTATCAGGTGCTTGAAGTATGGTTATATCCAGCCGGTAAATGAGGATCCCTAGTGTTGCACATATAAACACAAGATGAATCCAGTGATATCATGTGAAGCCACCATCACGAAATTATAAAAGGTCGCATAGAGTTAAGCTCGGTGAATAGCAACTAAGTGAGCATAAAATAAGAACCGGGTTTGATTGCTCACGAAACGCATTTCATGTATAAAATCGGTTATCAGAAAGATTCATTGTTTTCCATCAGTTAGAAAGATTACCATCCAGCTACACAAAGCAAAACCAGAGGGCAGAGCCGAGAAACAATCAAAGTGGAATACAGTAATGGGAGATGATGGTCACTTAAAGGACTAACCGAGTAAAATAATACGCCCAAATATGAAGTCGAAGATAATTAATTTTGGCGAGACAGTATTGCTAGATGAACCGCAAACGAGGCAGCAACAACAGCGACAATATCAGTGTTTTTCAATGTTTCGATGGAAAGTGCAAGTCGGCAGACCAACCAAAGACGGAGAGCTTGAATACAAGGTATGCTGATGACATAAGGCACTGGAATTAGAGAAGCCGGGTAACAAATGCTCAGTGATTCGAATCCAACAACTAAGAAAATAAGCAGGAATTTCAGCCATACTGCTCCTGGTATGGTATCTGTTGGTACTAAACGTCGTAAAACGAAAAGAAAAGCAAGTTATGCTACCATAAAGTTATCTAGTACAAAGGTGCCAGAATGGGTACAGCATGGAGCAAAGAGGCCATATAAAGACTAGCCAAATATAGTGGTTTCTAAGGGATGGTCACAATGAGTCACGTTGTTCCATTCATCAAGTAGACATGGTAAACAAAATCGCCTACCAAGAAGGGCTGAAGTATACAGCAGCAGTGTGAATCTCAGATAAAGCCACCTTCGTTAGCGTGATTTCGGATGCAACCATGGTGGCAAGAAGAAAATATAGTTTGCAGACTTTCCTCAAACATGTAGGTAAATCATGACACTAAAACTTTGCTGGGAGGACAATGGGGAAATATACAAAATTTGAGATTGGACAGATTTGCATTCCTCCGGATATGCGTAAATCATGAAGGCACCATCCGGAAGGCCGAATGAACTAGTGCATACCCAGAAAACACCACATACTCGTAGCAACAAGAAGAAAGAAAAATGTATGGGAACAAGGTAATACAACCATGCTGTACAAAGTGCCAGTCTATTCCATCGAAGCAGTGGCAGGCGCCGCTCATCAAGTCACTATTTTCTAATTTTACTTTTGCTTAAAAGAGCTAGTAGTTGGTCCGGGCTACTCTTGTTTAATAGCGCTTGTTGGAGAGGCGTCCCATGACTCAATTTTCGCCGGTTTAGTAGTATGGTACAGCCAAGCACTCGAATTCGACTGGGCATTGTGGAATGTGCGCTTTTTGTATTTATTCTTCTTCTGCTTCCTTTTTTCTTTATTGTTGGCCTTGACTTTCGGTCCTGACATGACACTGTCTAGGCGGCTCAAACGTCTGACAGCTCCAGCTAAGTGACATACACCAGGCTGTCCTCCCGGCAAACAAGTGTCAGCATGGGAGTGCGTCTGAGATTGATTTTTCGTTCTTATCGGAAGATGCGGTACAGTACGTCTTGTTTTTCTCCGTGGATGAGTAGCAGATGGATGTGCACCGTGCGATCTAAAAAAACAAGAGTTGAAGTTTATGGAAAAAACTACTTAAAACGAATGTTACTTGAACGATAGCGGAGACGAGGTCCAAAGCTAAATCCTAAAGTCAAGTAAGGTAAAAGCACTTCAATGTTGAAAAATCTACGAAATGATGCTATCCGTTGTTGTTATCATCCTCATCATTGAAATTAGGAAAAATAGCACTAGCATGAAAAGATGGGGATAAGAAAACAACTAGAAATGAACAAGGTTATCAGACTCATAATTGAATAGGCACACGAAAACAAGTTGTAAACGCTAACTTGGTCTCGGGTGTTTATATATGAAGGGACTAAAGATTCACGAATCCATCGAAAAATTTTGAGTGAGTGCGGTAAAACTCCCGAAGTTCACCACCACCGCATTTCGATCATCTTCTTAAGTTGACCGTTTGTCCATAGTTTGAACATTTGAAATAGAAACCTTATGGAATCAGACTTCTGTGTGTTTATCAGCTGCGTAAGTTGTCCCCTGACCGTTTGGGCCATAAAAGCCACAATTAACGTAACCTATATAACTTGACCGTGTGAAGGTTTATTGTATAATGATCGCTGAACGGCTCGTCTGCTCAAATAACAATGCGCAAAATTTTAATGATCCACACTGCACTTCACGACTCCACAGAGGTTTGATGATACAGCATGATTATCCACGTGCGCGTATTTTTGTCCCGCCCTTCATTCTTTATGCGCACGGGTGTTTGTCTCGTACAATATGGTCCTACGGTCTCTTGCCTACGGATTAACCTTGGCAGCTTTTGTGTGATCACTTTCTTTACCCGTTTACGTACACAGGCACAAGCACATCACCCTTTGGAACATGCGCCCACTCATTGCACAGACCGAAAGTCCTAAGCTAACCTGTTCAGTAACGGTTGTGAAAAGAGAAAAAAGCAGCGATTAAGTTTTCAAAAAAATGGTTTAACTTTGAGGACCGAACATTGCGTTTTGCTTTAATATAATGCTGTATGATTTAGCCGTGTTTGATATTACGTAATGGTTCATCTAATATATTACAAACAAGATGTACCTGAAAATAAAGTTTATAACGCACTACTCAGAGCGGGAAAGTAAGGTATGCTACGTTTTTGTATAGGAGCTACATAAGTTGACCACTTTAGTCCAGTCTCTTGAGTGGCCAGCTCACTGAGGTTTTACTATAAAGCGAACGTAACAGAGCCATCAACTAAGCCAGGCACCCACTTGAAATTAAGAAAGATACCTATAGTCGATATGCGACGATATGCTACGTGTGACGATACCGCACAGCGAAAATTTAGGATGAAAGTGCAGCCGCGACCCAGTAGAAAACTTACGCCACTCTCATAGAGTTCAAAACCACAGGGGGAAGAACTAGGGTGCAGACCAGTAGCTATGCTACCAGTAGGGTCAAGCTGATACTCCTGATTTCCCTCAAGTGCGTTTTCCTGATAGCAACACCAAGATCGGCTTGCTTTAGATGGCTGGGGAAACTCCAGCTGACCTACCTGTTATGTAGTATAGTTTGCATACGTACAAAGTCCCACCATGGGTATGCTGCAAGCTCATTGACGTGAAACGGTCGAGTAGATAGAAAGCATCGAACTAAAAATAAGACGAGGCCCATAGTGCAGTTCAGTTCAGCTGATCAATTATGATACAAGCGCCGGAACGCGGTGGATTCATTAGCAAATAATGGAAAAAATAGAATGCGAACAGTAACATAGTGTGATGAGGGAGGGAAGGATGATCACTAGATGGCGATCCCAAAAAGCAGAGGCAAGGGAGTTGGCTAAAAAAAGCAGATCGCCTCGGCAACAAAGCACGCGCATAGTAGATAGAATGGAAGCGCATGCAGCGTACCTACCAACGCTGCGCCTGTTCCGCCTACGTTCTCAACAACAACCGTCATCGTCGTGATACCGATCCCGAGTAGCCTCACTCGTGGCTCACTAGACCTGCTTGACTCAGGCACTCGCGACCGCATGTGCTACAGCACCATGCGTCCGACATCGATGGAGTACACTCCATCGGCGTCCGTCGCTAATGCACCAGCCGCTTCTTCTCCGCATGCACGAGGTATATACCTTGCACCACGGCAACTGCCTACGTGATCAGATCGAGTCATGCACGCCGATGAACCACTTTCGACTCCCAACACCTGAAATTAACATTACAACCTGATAGGCTTACCTAGATTATGTCCTGGTAACAAAGCTTCGGTTTCCCCGCAGACCGCTTCCCCACACTCAGCTGACCACATAACAGCTGCTTCGGTATCAGCGTCAAATCCATACGGCCCACATGACCGAGCCACCCCAGATGTCTCAACTAAAGTATCAACTCCACTGCGTACAATCCAATTCGGCGCAACACTTCCGAGTCCGCAACTCTGTTGCCCCAATCGATGCGCAGAATCCGTCGCAGACACCGTTGATGAAACCGCTCGAGTTATCTCACCCTTCGCCTGTACATCATCCAGGATTCGCTGAAGTACAGAACAAAGGACAGCACTATGGGTTTGAGCACCATCAGCTTCATGGCAACGGTAACCTGGTAGTTGTTCCATACCCGGTAGTCCAGCTTCCCGAACGTTGCCGCTGCCTTCGCTACGCGGATACTAAGCTCACCGTATATTTGCTCGTGAGCCGAAATCCCACTCAAAAGTTAACAAACATCATCATCATCATTATATACGTTAACTAGAGGTGTAAAACACCTCAGCTGCTGTGCCACAATACATAAAAGAAAAAGAAAAATAAATACAACAGTTGCATGCTCGCTAAGCTACCAGCAACGGATGAGTATTGTTCCGGAAAGCTACCAGCCTGCTACTGAGAAACAAGAAAAATTATTATGTAAAATTATATTACGCTACGAAATGAGATCGTGGTTGAAGGGGGAGATCTAAAAGGACTGGGCCGGGACAAGAACTCACAGCACGAAAGCCATTGAGGGTCGGTTCCTAGCTATGTCAACAAGTATGTCACTAGCCCAAACGTATTCATCGTCTTTTGGTCCCCAAACAAGGGAAGCCGTGAAGCTCTAACCGAGGCCCAGGCATTCGAAGTGAGGGGTCTTCATTCCTCTGGACCAAGTCATCGCTGGCCACCTTCTTCTTCTTCTCCAACCACACCCCCGGCGCTGCAAACAAAGCATGGTCGCGGGAGTCAGTGGGTTGACATGCGCAACACGGGGCCCAGCCATCGGAGCCTAATGCGTGAAATGACGTGAATGAGCGCTCCAGTTCCTTTTACAAAAGCACTTCGCAAAAGCACTTCGAGCTTTTGCTACGCGGTTCGTGATCTCATCTTCGATCCCAAGGGCGCTGATACTACTTCCCAAGTAGTTGAATTTTTGAACGACTTGTAGCTGATCCGCACCAAGGGTCAGCGCAGCAGCCAGTCCATGCTTATCTTGGAGGAAAGTATTACACTTCGAGCAAAGCCGGAGGCGGCTGACAGCCAGTGCTAATCTGTCCAGTTCCGCTTGGCACGTTTGTGAGCTGTCACAAATGATGGCAATGCCGTCAACATCCTCTAAGTCAAGAAGTCGTTCACTTGAGAGCAGTTCCACACCTTCTAAGTCGTGTCCTGTGAACGCGATTTCCATGACTTCGTCAATATAGAAGTTGAAGAGGAAAGGTGACAGCAGACATCCTTGTCTCACACCGCTGGAGATATTGAAGGGCGGTGACAGCTTGTCATAAACCCGCACTCTGCCCGAGCTACGCGCGTATAATGCTCGGATAATATTTACATATTTCTCGGTACACCTTTCCTGAGTAGACAGTCCCAAAGTGCACGTCTATCCACCGAATCGAATGCACCTTTGATGTCGAGGAACACGACAACGGTGGGCCGCCAATATATGTGACGGTGCTCCAACAACTGACGCAAGGTGAAGATGTGGTCGATGCAGCCACGACCTCGATGAAACCCGGTTTGCTCTTCACGAATCGGGCTTTAGCGAGTGCCAGTCAGTCTGTGAAGAATGACAGAGGCAAGCAATTTGGAGGCGATGGAGATCAAACTGATTCCTCTATGGCTGCCGCATTCCGATCGTGAGCCTCCTTTGAAAATTGGGACTATGACGAAGCGGCTCCAATCGGTTGGGACAGTTTCCTGCTCCCACAGTTTCACTAGTAACTCGTGTAAATCATGCAAAAGAGCAGGTCCCCCTAATTTGAAGAGGGCTGGATGAGGTTCATCTGGTCCCGCGGCTTTGTTCAACTTCAACAGCTCGATCTCACATTTCCCTTCTGAGCGAGAGGGTGGATCCAAAGGGACAGTCCAAGGAGCAGGGCGATCAGTGGCCGGTGAGGAATCGAGTAATTCCGGCCGACTAAATTGCTTTTCAAAATACCCCGTATCGCTCCGTATCAGACGGAATAACTTACGATGGTTACCAAGGGCATAGGATCCATCGCAATGAGGCTGGACCTTACCGTGGTGCGATGGTTTGTGTGCCTCAGCTGATCCATTGAGCACCTTCAGAGCCACTCATACCAGATTGGTCAATGGTTAGAGGCCAGACAAACTCAGCCTCCTGGTCCTCCAGGTTGGGGTTGGAATGAGAGTGGCTCCTTATTCCTTAAAACGGACTCCTTGTAGCCCAATGCCAAACCCGCTGCCTTGCGGTCAGGTTTTTGAACCAAAGGCTTTGATTGAGAACCCTAATCGTTCTTCTGTCTAGGTCTGGGTAACCTGACAGTATCCTGCCCACGCAATACAATGAATCGCACTTCAAACAAATTCTGATGCTCTGGCCACCGCAGAAGATAATCAACGGTGCCCTATCTGCTGCATCGAGCAGGGTGGATAGGGGTTTGGATGCTTCTGCTAGAGGCTAACTATCTTTGTATTCCCCCTCTTACGCTTTTTCACTCTTAGCGTCCCGTTACGGCTTCAATTTTTTCCCTTCTGTTTTCAACCCCCTAATTCTTGGCCCTCCCCCAACTTGCTTTGATAAGCTTTTACTTTTATTTTCAACT